TAGGAAATAGAAGTTGCCGGAGGGTAACGGTAAGGAGCTGTGGAAGAGCTGATTCTCCCTTTCCCTTTTTTTGCTGAATAACTACTCGTAAAGTCCTCAAATAAATAGCTATACAAAAGAGCTATTTGCTGGCCAGAGATTTGATGGATGCTTTTACAAATGCAAAGGAGAATATTTGTGTCGAAGTGCAATGCTTTCCAAGGAACAGTCTTGGCTGGTATGGTCATTAGATCCAGGTCTCTCTCGCTAGAGAAAAAAAACCTGTTGAATTCTAACTTGCCCAAATTTCTAGGCAGATGTTACCTGTTCTATGAAGGAAACCGGTCATCTTCATCATTTTCTCCAGTTTTTTGTAAGCTGGCTGGTTACAAGGAACGATGAGCGTGGCCGTTGTGGTAGACTCTGGCAGGGTTCATCCTTTTCTCACTGATGATCGATGCTATTTTGATGATATCCAGAGAAAAACCTAATGATAGCGCTGATTGTGTAACTCCCGAAATACTAACGACTCCATTTGTGACCCAGCGATTTCAATGCCATCTTACTATTACACAACCTTTCTCTTCAACCACGTTTTAAACCGGACTGGAAAAAGGCATTATCCCTAACCTTTGAGGGCTCGAAGATAACTGACGTGACTCTATGCAGTGTAGACCCTTACGCATTCGAAAAGAAATATCACTAAGGAGTTCACTACATAGTTATTATTTTTTTATGTCAAGTTATTCATTCCGAAGGAGGTGGGGAAGAGCCAAGTGGCGCATGATCACGCGTATGGTGCAAGGATCGAAACCCGAATCGATACCCATTCAGGGTCAACCAATTCTTTTACCCTTCAGAACTTAGTTAAATGATGCATATTCATCTGGGAGAATGAAGGAGCTGTTCCGTCCTCATCAATTCCCTGTATAGGCTACATGGCCGGTCATTCAAATGCCATTACAATCCCGAGCCGAATGAAAGTCACATGCGCGTGCGCATCACACAACAAGGTTGATCAGAGCCAGAGACCTTTCTCCCGTTTATTTGATTTCTTCCATATTCACCATCTGACATGGCATTGAATGAAATTGAATGCTGAAGAACAATGCTGGTGAAAGAGGGAAGGGGAGGGGAGGGGGGGGGGGATTCAAATGGGTACCAAACTGAAGCGGTAGGAAGCACACGATGACCGTTCTATCGAGTAGAACCTAGTATTTCAATGAACAGATTTCAATCCTTCGCCTAGAAACTAACATTTACTATCAATGGAAATCGAGAGTTCATTGAAGGGCTAAGGGTAGCTAAGGAAAACTACGGTAGGTGACTTTAGCGGGCGAACAAAAAACACCGTAGCCATTTTCTCCAGACGCACAAAAAAGTCTAATCGATGTGGTGAATTGTCTACGAAGTTTGGGAACGAAAAAATGCCGAATCGAGGTGATCCCATCATCAGGTGACAGTTGCCGCTTAGTTCGTTTGGAGATTTCTGATGAAGACCACATGTGTGTTCGTTGTGAAGTGACGGGCCGGTTGGAGGCCAGTGCCCCGTGACGGGGTGAGCGAGTGATCACGCACGACGAGACATCCATCCATCTCTCAGATGTCTTTCGCTCGTTCCATTCCCTTCGTTCTTTTGCCGTGTTATGAATCATAAAGGGAGTAGTGAGGAACAGTGAACACTGGAAAGAAGATCTATTCCAATCACCGGCGGAAGTATGTGGCAATTCAAGTTAGTTACTTGCTCATTTATGGTATCGTAGATAGTAGATTGATTCCGAACGCAGCAAGAGGTTCTTGCTACTTGTAGGAAACGGATTTCTCAATACATAGGGTTCTGGAAGCCCCTCNTTCTTCTTCTTCTTCTTCTTCTCCCTAGCGTTACTCCCGCGCCGTCGCAGAGTCCGTTGTCCTCAGCTGCCTGCCCTTCTTTCCATCTACGGCATCGTCTGCCGTCAACTCAACTTCGGCGAGATCCTTCTTGATCCCGCCATCTCCTCTTTGGGCCTCAAACCCCATTGCCTCCCTTATCGAGGATTCTATGGTCCTCTTGCCCGAACCATTAAAGAACCTGCTTTCTAATTTTCAGCTAGGCAAGGGCTGTTTGCATGACCGCCCTGACGTCTTCATTTCTGAACCGATCCAGCCCCGTCCAACAGTAGGCCCATCTGTGCATGTGGCTTTTACTTACAGGCCAATCATTCATTCATTTCATTGGGATGATTCCCTCTAAAGATTAGTCTCTAGGCTTTGAGGTTTATGTAGGCGTTAGGTCTATACGGCAAGGTAGATCGATCACAATACAATCATATTTCAAAGCTGTTCTTGTTTTTCGTATGAATCTGGGCATTTCAAATATAAAATTGAAAATGTAAGTGTCCTCAATTGGCATTCACTTCTTAGATTCGGTGCTTACGCCAAGATGACTGATTCCTTAAACAAGCTCACTATGTAGTTGACTATGCAAAAGGCTTCTGACTCTTCTATCAATTCAGAAATGAAGCTTAGTAGTTTTTTGAGTTCTCTTACTGGATGACTTTTTTCAACCCTTCACCACGTAATCCTGTCAGCTGTTCTATGGCACTACGAACATGGTTCCTTCAGATTATTTTGTTGTTTTCTAGTTGAAGGCTGGAGCTGCGGCTAAAGAGACTTTGTCGCTCTGTCAGGTATAGGGCATCCTCCTCTTGTCGGTCCATTCCCTTCCCAGGTCAACCCCTCCTCTGGCCTATCTTGTAACAAGTTACTTTCTGAGCTATTTTCTTGAGTCTCGATTAGTTCCCGGTCCAAGCTCTGCCCACCATCGACTTTTGTGCCCAATTGTTGCCTTTGACTTTACGTCTCAGAAAGTGCCGTTAAATCGCTCACCCCCACTAAATCACCCGACGACCAGGAAGTAGAGACACCGCATCGTTCAAATGATATGGTCATTACTGCGAAAAACAGAGAAATATCGGTGATACCAGACCGAACAACGATTGCTGGCTCATAGATGTTGATGTTTACCTTAAAACAACAATACTCGCAGTAAACAAGGTGATCAGGCCATATATTCCGTCCAAAACAGACAGGGGGAAAGCGCTGGAACTGGTAACGAGGCCTTCAATACTCTTCTCCCATCCAAACTGTATAGAACCGCACGGCATCTGATCTCTTTAAACAGCTAAAACTAAAATGGCGATGTGGCGCCCAAGCAAACTGCAAGTCGTGGGGTGGGCCATTTCTGACAGAACACATAAGAGTTTACATTCGTCTCATTGGGTGGCCGTGGCGACAGAAGGCGCCGGACAACGAGTGTCTCCGAAATAACCAATGTGCGCGCCCGATATGAACGACAAGCGACACACAGGTGGGGAACGATAGGAATCAAACACAGGAGATCCCTAAGCTTGATACTTGAAGTAGAAATATCCAATTAGAACGATGAGAGAAAGGGTCCCAATCGGTCGCTT